GAGGGCTACCAGAACCAAGAAAGCCAAACTGGGTGAGAAAGAATAAAATATTTTAAAGTAAAGATAAGATCCAAGATAACTGACTTTATTACTACTCTGTAACACTGAAGATATGTTAAAAAAATCTTGCAAGGCCAGAATAAAAATAACCTATAGGTTAAAATAGGCAAATAAGAATTTTTAAAATGGCCCAATGCCTAAATGGGTATTTATATTAGTACTTATAATCCCGATACAACCAAATTAGGTTTTAAATATTTTTAATTACTTTTTTTAAAACAATGTACATACAGAAAAGGATTGGTCTGTTTAACCTGCAGAATTAATTCACCTACATTCTAAACTATTAGGGTAGAAACTCTCTTTTCAGTGATTATCAATACCAGCTGGAGGCTCCTTTGTAATATAAAATAAAGAATAAGAATGGGAGGGTAGAATAAGCCAGACCTTGAAAGAGCACTGCCTGGGGCCAAGAGAGACAACCTCCTCCCCAAAATAGGAAAGGCTAGAGAGAAAGGATATCAGTCACAGAAACCAAAAAAAAGAAGAAAGTGAAGCAGGTAGAAGAACAAGGTGAGGGCTGCAGCAGGGGAATAGTAGAGAGGGAAGGCAGGAAAGACAATAGAGTTGAAAGGAATCAGTCTTTTTGGTTTGGGGTTAACTAAAGGGTTAACTAAAAGGTTTGTGTTAGCACCAGAGGAAAGGGAGCTGAAAGTTTAAATAAACATCCTGGACTAGGATGCCAGACAGAAACCCTAGGCAGTGCCAGCTTCTCAGCAAAAGCGTTGAAGGGTTCAGTGAGCAATGCCCAAAGGAGCACCGCCCTGATGCAGGAGAGAATTAGGGATGGAAGCAGTGGATCTCCCTCCCCACCTTCCTCTTTGCGAGCGGTTAAGGGATGCTAGCTTTGTTCTGACAGCACAGCAGGTACAGGTGTTGCCCTTCATAGCAGAATGTTCATGCTGTTCTAATAACATCTATTAAATGCAGTTCATACCAGAGGGGCCAATTCTAGTACAAAGTGAGCAGGTAAGTTCCCTTGTCCTTTTCTCCTCTTCACAAAGATGGCCAAGGTAGTGCTTGTGGTTTCATCACCAGTGTACCTATTTACTAGAAACTGATATGAGACCATAAACACACTTCATTCAGCACAGCTGTCTGGCTACAAGGTTTCCAGTAAGAGTAGGAAAAATGATGGGCAGAGGGAGGGAAATCCTCTATGAACTATGGAGCTGGTCAAACACCAGAAAAAAATGGTGTGTCAAAAAAATGATTTGAGGAAAACCAGCCACACTCACCAAACAGCGAAGAGTTTCTTCACATTAGAGTATATCCATTTAAATTTCCAAGCTGATTCTGAACCAGACATAAATTCCATTCCTTCATGTCTCTTCACGGCAGGCACTGATAATCTTTTTGTAAATTGTTTTAGACCAAGAATTATTATGTGAGGGAATGTATGAATAACTTTGAATTACAAGTAAGTTAAGGAGTTTCACAGTCTGACCATGAACTATGTACTAGTGAGGAAAAGCAGCTATCTTCACTGAATAAATAATTTCTTCAAAATTATTTGCTCAGTCCAGACTTACAGACTTACAAATTTGGCCTGGATTCAAATGAATCATTAAGTAAAAAACTGTTTCCTGAAACTTATCCAACAAAAAAAAGTCAATATCCATAAAGCTTATATGTATTTAGTAGCTTTAGATAAGACGTGATTTTTTGTAAATAGCTCATCAGTGCAGTAGGTCTGAGCAGTGATGTCTGCCTGCATCTGTGGACAGTCTGGATGATTAGCTTCGGGAAATGTGAAGTTCACCATGAATCTCAATAGTGTGTTAGCAAAGTGCTCTCAGGATCCTGTCAACAGCCCCTCAAGAGGAGGATGTATGTGACGAGCCCTGCAGCAGGTCCAAGCCAGTCACCCTGGAGAGGATAAAGACTGGGAGACTTGTCTACAACCTCCCCTCCTTCCAGGTGCTGCTACAGCAAAGATCCCTCCTATTAATCCTGCAGGAGCCGTGAAAGGAGCCTCTTGGTACTCCTGCCCCGTGAATGTGAAGAGGGACCCCCCTGCCACAGGCAGTCCAGTTGGGAGTAAGGCCACACTATGGATGTCCAATGTGTTATTTTATAACTGAAGCCCATTTCTTTGGGCAGCTCTGCCAAATTAGGTAATTCCTGCTACTTGTTCCCATAGCAATGCCTCAGTTGTGTTGATGCCGAGGTTTGTCTGGATGTATGGTGAATCAGATGAGGGACTGACCAGGAGCTAATATAACTTTGAAGAGTTATTTTTAACCAAGATCAGAGGGAATGGGGCAAAAGAGCTTTCAGTTACCAATAGCTCACTGCCTGCCTTCTGGAGTTAGTGAGAAACCAGTGTCCACATCCTTCCTTGGTGCCCAGGGAAACATACTCAGGGGACGACTATGGTGAAACCATCCTCAGAAGCACACAGACAGGGACAGAGGCCATTCAGTTCTTCTGTACCCACCTCCCCAACTCCCTTCTGCCCTTCTATCCATGTTAGAGATCTAGTTCATTTGTTGAGATTCATACAAGTGTGTTTGACTGGTTTTCTTTTTTTTTTTTTTTTTTTTAATTCTCCATTTAGTTATGTGTTTGATCTACAATTTAAGGTTATTTAAAACATATTTTTATTTACATATGAACTGTAAAATATTCTGTACAGCTATGCTTAAATAATTTGAGGCAAAATGATAAGAAAATCAATTATGTGGTTGACAGCTGTGGAAAAGGGACAATGTTAAAAGTACAGTTTAACAAAAACAGCATTAATTTTTTATATCTTCATTATACATTGTAAATACTTACACATTTATTAAACCTACTCCTATTTAAACCAAGTAAGTTACTCACAAGCAGAAAGTAAAAAGATACATAAGAATGTGGTGGATTTGGCTTAAGTTGACACAGAATGTAATAACACATCACACTTTAATAGATTTATCTGACCAAGGGCTCTGAGTGGAAAAATAATATTATAATCAGAATGATAAACTTTCCACTAATTAACTCTGATTTTAGATTATCCCTAGGTATATCTCATAAAGAGACAGTGAGATTTCCCAAGTCTCTCAGAAATATAAAACAGCCTCTGCAGCATTTAACAAAGAGATTATACTCTTTAGATTATTTTTTTTAAAAAAAGGTTGTACAACTACCAAAGAGACCTGTTAATAATTATGTAAATTATTTGACTCAGTATGGACCTATTTGTTTAATATATACCATGCTGTTATGCATATGATAAGATTTAATTGCTGTTGAAGCAATAAGAGAAAATCTGATTTCTTGATGAATCTGAATGCTGCCATTCACTGACCTGATTTCTTAATGATTCTGAACAATACCACAGTGACCAAATATAACTAAGTTCCAGCACAAAGCTGAATAGATAGAAGAGTTTAAAATATTATTCACTGACTGTGGCTCTATATGATGTTGATTTTAAATGACTGTGTCAACACAAAAACTGAAGGGCTAGCGTGAATGAAACTGCAATATTTTTATATAAAAAAATAAAGGACCAAGCTTCAGATATATGCATTTTCTCTAAGTGAGCTACCATCCAGTTGTCATCTGCAGAAGTCTGTTGGAGGTGCTTGTTGCCCTTATCACCAGCAAGAAGACTAGAACAGATATCGTGCAATTCCTCATCCGCTGCTCCTCATACACAGATCACAAATGCATCCCTGGAGATGGAAGGATAGAACAGCAGATGATGGTGACACTGCATAAACCAGTTACAGGGTAAACAAAAGAAACAGCAGAGAATAGGAAGATTTGCCAGTCTCAATTCCAATATAACTTCGCTATGCACCAAATGTTCTGTTAATGCCAGAAAGCATGACAAATTAACAGGATATTTTAAAGACCACTGTGCTGTTTCCACAAATCATCACTGTAGGATGCAGAAATACAGACAGCTTTCCTCCAAGACTCATCTCCCTCACATGTGGTAGTCATTTCTGCACAACGTAGTTTTGTTCCAGCAGTAATAGTAGCATAGGACTATTCCCTGCCTGGTCCCTTTCCATAGCCTATAACTATGTTACCAGCTATTGACTTATGTCAGCTCCGAGCTATGTCATAGATTTATAGGCAGGGAATAAAAAACAGTCAATCAAAAGCAATCCTTTGCATGACTCTACCTTTTTTCATATAAGAAATATGTATATTTTTAAAATAATTGGAATAAAGCATATTACAATCCCTCAGCTCGGTATGTAGTTTTCAAGAGCAGGGAAGAAGCATTATTACAAAACGTCTAGATCTTCCTGGAGGAAATAGTACATGTCTGAAGGTAGGGAAGGTGAAAACCTCTGAACCAGCCAGTTGAAAATCTACAGTGAACCCTGGGAACTCAAAAGATACTCTGAACTCCTGGAAAATTTACATTTTCATGGAATATTATTGTGAATCTTTGGGTTGGAATAGCAACCTCTTCAAACCAGTCGTGGATACTGACTCAACTCCAGAAAAGGCAAATTTTTGCAAACCATGAGATAGGATTATGTCAATAAAATACTGGCCTCTTTCCAGCACTTCTCTGTGTCATGTAAAACAGCCTCTAGTGAGGATTCACCTTAAATCACCTCTGCAATTAGGGGTTAACTGAACAGATGTGAAACAGAGCTGAATAAAAGACATTGAAAAAGAAGAAACAGGTTTTTGCCTACAAACTTTGATTTAACCTTAGACCCAAATCCTGCTAAACAGGCCTAAGGCAGCAGCCATAGTGACAGAACTTGCTACCCCCGAGCATTCAAAAAGTGAGGCAAAAATCACTACTTTTACTTGAAAAGCCCGACACTGGGGTGTGGGGGTAGGTGCTTTTACCAAGGATTTTGAAACCATAGGATTCACTTTTTCAAACTTTTATTCATGGTTTATATAAATCTGAGATTCTCCCCACAGTCTCAGAACATCTGGAGCTGATGACTTCAGGAAAGCACTAAAAATGTTAATACTCAGACTGTCAGCTTGGCTCTGCAGCACTACCAGCAGAAATCTTCTTTTGGGGCTGCAGAGAACTCAGTTTAGCAGCAGAGAAGCATGGCAGGAATTTCTGCAAATGAGAGAGGAAGATGAGAAGTGAACACATCATTACCTGTGTGAAAAAGAGTGGTTACGCTACTTCGTGTCCTCCCTTCATGCATCTTGCATCAATGCTTGGTCCTGGCTTGGAAAGCGTCAATGTTTCAAATTTGGATAAATTGAGTGCCCTGTAAAATTTAGGTGGCATCAATGTTTGTTTTCTGATTTACAACTCAAAGAGATATCACTGGACAAAAATGACAAGAAGTCTGAGGGAGGTGAAATAAAGATGGGCCGGGGTCAATTTTACAGTGATAACTGAAGTGGATTTTAAGAGAGTTACACCTGCAAACACAGTATTGATGTGCTGTATCACATTTGGCCATATTCTCCATCCCAGTCCTCATGACTGATTCCTGCTGTGGTCCAGCATCTATGGTAAGTGTTTCCTGAAAGATGTTTGGCAACCCTCAACTGTCTGATTTGTTCTTCTTTTAAAATAAACCTTTCTGATAAAATCCTTGCCTGTTCCTCAGTTTCTATTAGTACTTTATAATGTACTTCCTCAGTAGAGATTTCTTGGGCATTGCAGGTTAAAAATTACATGGGATTTGGTGAGTTTGAAAAGCTGTCTTAAATCTACATATTTCAGTCCCTATGACTCCAATGGTGTTGGCTCAGGCATGCTCATTCCTGTAGGAAATGCCACATGCCTGAAGAGCAGTTCTTCCTGACACTAGAGAGAGCTTGGAAGGAACAAAAGCAGCAAGTGGGTGCACAATGGTCTCCCACTGACCTCCTGTATTATATTTCAATTTTCTTCTTCTTTCCATATGTTTCTTCTTCCCTTCATATCCCTCTTCCTGCAGTTGGGTCCCAAATTAGCAAGGGACCACCAGTTAGCTTGCAGTTACAAAAGCAGTCCTAGAGAGTTTTGTGAAAGTAAGAGCCAATACACAATTTCTGGGCGGGGGGCTTCTGGCGTGGGCTAGGAGACCTAGCCAGACTGCTGAGCACAGCGCCTTCCACCGTGCAGGTGAGTCTCCTTACCTCCTACAAGCAGTAAGGAAGCACAGAGGAGAACAAATCTCTGTGTTATGCCCTAAAATAACCCAGAGCAGTGCTTTCTGGTGGGTTTTAGGACAAGGCAAACAGTCCCATTATTATTTTACTGCCATAAGGGAGCTCTCTTCAAATGTATGGTGATAGAGCAATAATCTACAATGTACATCCTTATCTTCACTCATAAGTGAATCATATAAAACTCCTCCATTATCATACACCATAAAAAGATTAAGACACATGCACATTTTAAAAGGTAATTATTACATTTAAAGAAATTAAACAATGTTCTGAATGATCTCAGCACCTTATTTAGCACAAGAGACTGCACCAATTTATTTTTTTTTCCTATTAAAGTAATTTTTCACAATTCCTTTTCATTAGAAAATAAAAGCTTAAAGCCAAGCACAGCTGCTGAAAAGCATTAATGAAACCTGTGTCTGCATAGCAGAATCAAAGCAGTAGTAGAGGTGGCAGCTAGCCACAGAAAAGGGCAGAAGAGATAGGGAAAGCAGTAACAAGGGAGGCATGAGATAGTAGGAGATAGGAAAGATTCACAAATGAGTTACTTGTTGCCATCCATTACCATCTATATCTGCATCAGGGAAACACGTAGTTTAGAAGATTTGCAGTTTTGAAAATGTCAGTGCATTATGATAATATCAAAACTGAACACCAAAATCTTCGGCGTGACTTACAAGTGCATTACATACAGAAGGGTATATGGGATCTGGTTAAATCTAAACACACACGCATTTGGAAACTGTCATTTACGTGGTTGGGTGCTTTCTCGAAGGCATATGTACAGTCTGTTGTTAATCTTTGGAAATCAGTGGTGTTTCTTACAAACACAAATTAATATAGTACTTTTTATATTTCCAAATTAAGTTATGTAATAAAACACATCTTTTCAATCAAGGTAATGCAAGCTGACATGTGATTTCCTTTGTGAAGCAGATGTTTTAATTGTTAGATAAGCTCCTAATAGTTCGCTTTTTCTTGAAAGGAAAACAAAAGTATATGAATGACCTCTCCCTCCCCGTGGCTTTCAGAGCAGCTACTTTTCTTGAAGATTAGGAGTCTCTTGGACTCAAGCCCTAACTCCTCTTGTATCTGCAAACTACAGTTTGAATTAGTTTTCTCCTTTAACAAAAACTCCTGCCGTGTTGGAGAATCTCTTAATTACTTTTCAAGCTTCTCCTGTTATTGTGGAACTCTATGAAAATCTGATTATAGCACTAATAAAATGAGTGAATACTCTTTTCTTTCAATTTCATCTAAAGGCTTCAAAATACAAAGATATACAAAGTCACATAGCAACATTGTATTAATAAAAATAAATTAATGGTGCCAAATAAGAACCTTATGTCATGAAAATACAACTGTGGGAATTATTTAATCTACAACCAATAATGTGAAGTACTAAGGAACAAAATTTGACAATTTAGGAGTTCAGAATTCTTTATCAAGGTAGTTTATAAGAATGAAGTTCTATTCCCTCTGAGATCTAAGAAAAAACAGTGCATTTCCCACAACATTTCCAGAAAAAAACCCAAAAAAACAAACAAAAAAAACAAAAAAAAAAATCCCCAAAACAAGCAAACAAAAAACCAACCAAACAACCAACCAAACAAAAAAAACCAAAACAAAACAAACAAAAAACCACCACCACCAACAACAACAAAAAACAGGGAGCGGAGGTAAATCTTAGGTCCAAGAACCCCCAACCAGTTTGAACTCCTACAGTTGATAGTGGTGCTTCAAAGATGACCAGCAGCTTCCAGTCTGCCAACAGATATAAAGATTCTGAACACAGAATCACAGTTGCTTCAGTGGGAGCTGCTGTCTTTTTGATAGCAAATACAGACTTAAAAATCTGCCCAGTCAAAATTATATAGTACAAGGCTGAAAAGGAAAAGAGAGCTCTACAGCAGGGAATTGCAAATCTGTTGTGGTTTAGCAGATGCTCAAATAAATCTTCATCTCTTCTGTATTAGATGCCTTTATCCTGGGCTAAAAATTTCTATATCACATACCAATGGCAAAGAAATTCACAAGCTTCCAAACCACAACCGAGGTAAAATTTCTTGCTTCCATGGTAATTTATCCTTTGAGGTGAGTAGCTGGATATACAGGAAGACTTACACTAGCCAGTATTGGAAATCAGTGGGGAGACTATAGAGATCCTCACCTTAAAAATATATGTGCCAAATCATCATAAAAAGCACAACAGGGAAACGACGATGTGCCAGATTTTTGAATCAGTTATGATGACATAAAACTAGAGAAACATGGCTGAATTCTATAGGGTTTTTCCTTTATTTTTAGAGAAGGTAAAGTGAATGGGTGGTGCTTCAACAGAGATGGGGTTCCGGACCTACACAGTGACTGTCAAACCAGGCTGCTCTGCACTGCCTGCAGGAATTTAGCAGGAGCTGAAGCCATTGCCTTGTTGGGAGCAGCTGATCAGCGGCATCTTGACTCAGGGCTGAGCTCCTGCAGGCACTCTTTCAGAAGCCAGATGCCTGCCTTCAAAAATGGCACTTCAGTGTTATTCAAAGTAAAGGAAGGAAGGCAAGGCAAATCCCTCCTTTTAAACATCAGGCATCTGCATATATATGGTGCCCGCACTCTTACACTAGTCCCATGAGTTTTATGCCAGCATTCAGCCACTGCTCCCCTGGTCCTGAGGGATATCTAGGTGCATAGGCTGCTACAAGCAAATTATTGCTGCTTGGAAGACCAGTAGCTTCCTGTGCCTTGACATGGAGAGCTGGGCAGCTTTTCAGGGGCATTGTACTGATTTTGGCTTCTTGCACTTCTATAGTGACCACAGAGCCCTTCCCTTCCTATAAGCCCCAGGTACAAGGAGCCGTTGTCACATGGTATCACATCTCTCCTGCCGCACGGTATCTGCAGGCACGCTTTATATGAAGTCACTTGTGACACAACTCCACAGCCCTCAGCACACAAGCCAAGGCAGCAAGAGGCTCCCGGTTATTGTTGTTCAGTTCTGAAGATGAAGCAGAAAACACATGTAAACAGTAGTGGTTTGTTAACATTTAAATCTGTCTGCTAAAGCTAAAGTGCCAGAGGAGGGAAAAAAAAAATAAAAATAAAAGAAAGAACAAAGACTGATTGCTGTGCTGGCTTTTTGTCCTCAGGAGACTGATTTCCTGACATCACCGGCACCAACACAGGCAGAGCTGAGCGTTCATCTTTTGGTTCTTTTGCTGCAGTTCAGATCAGCAGTTCACTGCTCGAGACACTGCTGTAACACATGGGAGGCAGAGCACATTTATTTTTTTTTCCCTGTAAATTCAGAGTAAATTAGATTTGGTGCTCTGCCAAGAACAAAATACTGTCTACTATTGTAAGGGTTGTTATGGGCCAGATCTTCAAATCTCTACCACTGGCAAAGTGTGTTTGTCCAACTATTGAGTTAGTAAAGATATCTGATTTGGCTCAGTGTCTTTTACATCTATGCCCTTAAACCTCTTTCCTCCCAGAACACGCAAGTGAATACAGTCTTTATAATAGAAAAAAAATTCAATCAGCTTAAATAAGTAGTTCCCTGCTATAACTATATCTCACCTGATTGATTAGAGATTTTGTTTTAAATAGTGCAATTAATTTCTACAGTATACAAATATGAGCTCTGATGATCCCAACATTATTTGCATGGGTGAAATAAGATGAATCCAATATGAGTACCCAAGAGGAGAATGAAGGTCTAAATAATATATCTAGCAGCCACAATATTAATTGCGTTGTGGAAAGTTGGAAATTACTTCTGTTTTCCTTGCTGCATTTTCTAATGCTTGTAATTTTTTGTCTCCAAAGCATCTTAGAGTGGGAATAAAAGAATACTTATGACATTTGTTAAAATTTCAAAATGGATCTGTCCACTACTCTTTCATGTTGGCTTTCTGTAAACACTGCACATTTCTAGCCAAAATCTTCCCCTTT